CAATTTCAACATTAATATAATGTAACTGTTTCCAGGTGGAAGCAAACCAACTTATATACATGATTTTATTCCAATCTTCTGAAAAACGCATGCCATCTATATTACCTCAAACTTGTGGGAATAAAATACATTAAACTAAACAGAACTTCAAGTAGTCAAAAGAATCTTGTCTTTTTCAGGATATTTCTGAACTCTCTAAAAGAAAACAAGTTCAATTATAGAATCCAAAAATTTTTAAAACACAAGCACCATCAGAGGAAATTGCTATTAATTTTTAAAACTCACTGTTATGCAAATATTAGATGGAATCACATGAAGGTTCAACTATCAGCATATCAGCGCTTTCATGTGGTTTCACCTAACAGATCATAGAGTAGTTTGTAAATCCCAGGAAACATTAAAATAATTTTTTTTCAATCCTTTGCATCATTTTTATTTATTCATTTATGTATTTATTTATTTTCAGACGGAGTTTGACCCTTGTTGCCCAGGCTGGAGTGCAACGATGCAATCTGGGTGCACTGCAACCTCCGCCTCCTCAGTTCAAGAGATTCTCCTGCCTCAGCCTCCCGAGTAGCTGGGATTACAAGCATCCGCCATCACACCCAGGTAATATTTATATTTTTAGTAGAAATGGGGTTTCACCATGTTAGTCAGTCTGGCCTCGAATTCCTGACCTCTGATGATCCATCTCAGCCTCCCAAAGTGCTTACACCATGCCTGACCCCTTTGCATCATTCTAAAACCGTCTTTTTATTCTAATGGATAACTGAAACTGAAAACTTTCTAAACTTTACAAAGTATTTATAGCCACGATTTACATTTTTAGTAATACTACATTTAGTAATACAACTTCATTCATTCTTTCATTTATTTGAGATGGAGTCTCACTCTGTTGCCCAGGCTGGAGTATAGTGGTGTGATTTCCGCTCACTGCAACCTCTGCTTCCCGGGTTCAAGAGATTCTCCTGCCTCAGCCTCCTGAGTAGCTGGGAATACAGGCACCCACCACCGCACCTGACTAATTTTTGTATTTTTAGTAGAGACAGGGTTTCACCATATAGGCCAGTCTGGTCTGGAACTGCTGACCTCAGGTAATCTGCCTGCCTTGACCTCCCAAAGTGCTGGGATTACAGGTGTGAGCCATTGCGCCCAGCCTACAACATTCTTATAGTAAGAAAGCTATTACTGATAACTCTATTGTAATCTCCAGATATTTACAATTACAATTTTTGGCCTTTGGTTTTAAGACAAATTCTTGACTGCATGAATATCAATAATAAAAAGATTTTATGCCTGTGTGATGTTTCAAGGTGGTCAGCACACTGTGCAAAAATTACCTTGAGTAATGCCGAGGACGCTCCATTATATTTAGGCATTGTTATCACTCCAACCCTCATACTAGACAATAGGCAAAAATACCCATGTCAGCTGGACGTGGTGGCCCACACCTGTAATCCCAACACTTGGAGGATCACTTGGGCGGATCATCTGAGGTCAGAAGTTTGAGACCAGCCTGGGCAACATGGCAAAATTTTTTCTCTACTAAAAGTACAAAAATTAGGCATGGTGGTGTCCGTCTATAATCCCAGCTATTCAGGGGGCTGAGGCAGGATAATTGCTTGCCCCCCAGGAGGTAGAGGTTGCAGTTTGCTGCAGCCGCGCCACTGCACTCTAGCCTGGGTGACAGAGTGAGACTTCTGTCTCAAAAGAAAAAACAAAATACGCATGTTATGGAAGAAGAAACAAAGGCTTAGGAGGTGACCAGCTGTGAAGGGGCATGGCTGTACCCAGATCTCATGAGTCATAGCTGTATGACAATGTATTCACTACATCTTTGTTAAGCAACCTGTCCAGTAGTGACTCAGTTATTGAAACAAGTGCATTTCAATATAATGCTCTGAATGAGACATTGCTCTCAGAGAGGAACATATCTCAGGATGTAGAATCTCTAGTTTCTTTTTTTCTGTGCACTAAACATGTGTCCAGAGCTTCTCAGGTGGGCTGCCTACCACAGTGAAGAGGAAGCTTTTATGGCCTCAGCCAAATATGGGCCCTGCTCCTCCCCAGGCTAACCCTCAGGGCTGGCTTGGTGCCTAAGATAGCCCACAGCTTGTTGCCCCTCAGCTGCTAGCCCGAAACCAACGGCAGAAAAGCAGACCATAATGTGGAGGAGACTGTTTTTTAATGATATTTTGTTCCCAGGAGATTCTAAAAATTAATACCTTATTCCACTGTTCTTTTGGGTTATATAAGATTATTTTCCAAAATACTGTCCGTAATTGTCGTCTGTATTAACTAATTTTCTGTTGGTGATTATCAACATGGTAGAAAGGCAGGATTGGCTAAATTGGGCCTTCTTACTCTTGAACATGCATACATATCTTCTGAATATTCAAAAAATACAGATTCAGACTCAACAGGTCTAGGATGGCACCTGAGAGGCTGCATTTCTAGAAAGCTCCAAGGGACTGGTCCACAGACCACACCTTGAGAAGCATGGATCGAAAGTACTTCAAACAATCCTTGTATCTGCCTGATGATCTGTGAGAATAGGATTAATCTAAAGATTAGTAATGATTCCTTTTTCTGAAAACAATAACAACCAAAATGATTTCTACTTGATTTTATTTTTCCCTATTTACTTTTTCTATGACAGTATGGGAATTAAACTGAATTCTCTTTCCTAGAGTTTGGGAATAAATCAGGTGTTGGGTTAAGTAAACCTCTCTCTCTCTCTCTCTTGCTCTCTCGCTCTCGCTCTCTCGCTCTCTCGCTCTCGCTCTCTCGCTCAACTCTAGAGAAATGCTCCCCCTTCTCTGAATTTTCCCATCTACTCTTCTTTGGCTTTGCTTGATCTTTTTTCTCCCATGAAGATTTAGGGTTTTTATTGACCGGAGACAGATTTTAGCAAGAATGTCCCAGTTATTTTAGCTTGTGCAGCTGGTCACATTCTTTTGAAATTAGCTTGAAATTAGATTACTGCTCAAGATAGCCATAAAATAATATCAGCACTCAGTATGTAACTCCAAAAGTGATAGTGTTGCAGCCTGTTGGGCTTTTGTTTTTTGTTTTTTACTTTGTATTTTTAAATAAATACTATAACAAGATGCACAAATGATAGTTTTGAGTATACATCATCCAACTTTCATCAAAGGTAACATCTTACAAAACCATAGTACATTATGAAAGCCAGGAAACTAGCATTGGTATGTATTTTTAACTAAACTACAGGCCGTATTTTGATTTTACAGTTTTTACATGCACTCTTTTTTTGGGGTGGTAGGGGAGGATATACAGTCATATAAAGTTTTACATATCTGTGTATAGATTCATGTAACCACCATCACAATCTTACTTATTGCTAAAAGTGGGTGTTTGGGACTCTGTCCTGAACGCTATTCTGTTTTCATTCTCCACATTATCCCTGGACCCTCTTATCGGTAATGGTGACTGTAACTATCTTTTCTATTTTGATAAGTCTTAAATGTATAACCTTAACCTCTCTTGAGCTCTGTGTCTCACCATTTCCTAGCTTACTTGTGGACACCCACTGACCATTTTATCTGCACAGTGAGCTCCAATATAGCCAAAATTCAACCTGTATTCCTTCATTTTTAAACTAAATAATCTCTATTTGGGGGATTAACACCTTGTGGCCCAAGTCAGAATTCCTAGGGATCATCTTAGAAGCATCCAGCCCCCTAATTCAGCTCCACATACTAAAAGCAGCCAACATGCCTAGAGCAGGTACTGCATGCCAGATGCTGTCCCACACCCGCTAGAGGGGTCGGCTCACCTTGTTCTGATAGCAGTCACACGCTTTCTCAGAGATGGATTCGAGTGTCATGAGGCCTGAAACTTGTGTAGTTTCAGGGCCCATTAAAGAAAAAGAACAGAAGATTACAAATATTAGAATTAGTATTTACCAAAGTAAATATTTGGGCTAGTGCAAGTGGGGGGCCCTGAAAATTGACCTTCACTAGATTCATAATCTATCTGCCTTTGAGATAAATGCTATTCTCTGTGATTTTACACTGAGACAATCAAGGAACACAAACCTCCTGCCACAGGGGGCTCATTACCTCTTGCTGTATTTTAACAGAGGTCTCCTGTGTGACCTCTCTGCTGTTAACCACCCCCCTTTATCTATTCTCTACACTCACCCCAGAGGGATCTGCACATGGGGCCACATCTCTCTACTGATCTGAAGCTGTTACTGGTTCCTGGTCCCTTTCAGGATAAGAGCTAAACATGTTTTGCATGACTCCACGTGGGTGTCCCCTCTGACCGTGAAAGTGGCATGATGCTGAACTGCTAGGGGCTTCCACCAACATCCCACAGTTCCTACTCCTTTCCACGTGCCCTTCTGCTGCCAGGACTGCTCTCCTGCCATCTCCTCTGCACGCTGCTCTTTTCATCATTTTATCCAAAGTAGAAATTGAATTTTTGGTTATTTTTAGCTTATAGGGGCAACATATGGTTAAAGTAAAAAAAAAAAAAAAATTATACAATGCCAAAAGAAAAGCACAAAGAATGAGTAAAAACTACCAGAACTTTGACCCCATTTTCTGGGATGAACCACTGTTAAGTGTTTGGTATATATACTTTTCATTTTTCCTGCCGTGTGTGTGTGTGTGTGTGTGTGTGTGTGTTCTAGTCTATAAAATTGGAATATGTTACTATGTTATTATTCTTTTTCCTTAATCTTCCAGACTTCTCCCCAAAATGTTACTCATTTTGTTTTGTTTTTGCAAATCTCTTAGATTATTAGTAAAGCCGAGTCTCTCTTACTGGATTTCTTCTCCTGTAAACTGCCTATTGATATGACCCTCTTCTCTATAGAGCATAGATGAAGGTAGTGGTCATGTATGTTGAAATATTTGTCCAGCTTTATCTTTAGTTTTTTGACTTTGTAAGGATGAGGAATTTTAATTTGTATATACTTTTGGATGCCTTTAGAACAATTACCATACCTTTTTTTTTTTAAATCTCCATAGTTTCAGCATCTAGTACACTATCTGCGATGGAACAGGTGAGCTGGAATATTTGTAGAATGCATGGGTGGACTAAAGACCTATCATCTCACTGTAGATCACCCAGCATGTTGGAGGTAAGAGCTTATCCTCAGTCTCTTTACCCCTTCTCATACAGAACCAACCACCAAATCCTGCAAATTCAACCTTCAAAACGTCTTTACACATCTCACCACCAGCACCGCTCTGTCTGACTTATCATGTCTCACCTGGATTCCTGCAGTAGCTTCCTCTCTCTGGTCTTTCTATGCTAGTGCTTTCTCTATCTGTGACCAGGGTTTTCTAAAACACAATCTGTTCATTTTACTTTCCTGCTTAAAAACCTTGAATGACTCCATAGTGTCTGGAAAAGAAACCTAAATGCTTTAGAAAGGAGTTCAAGGCCCTCCCTAAAATCTGGTCTGACTTCTCTACTCAGCCCCATCTCTTTTTTTCTTCTCTCTCTTTACATCTTCTGTTCTCCAGCTCTGCCACACTTTCAGCTGTTCTGGGACAGACCTTATATTTCACAGCTCTTTGCTTATTAGATCCATCTCAAATGTCAGACATTCCGTGAAGTCTTGTCCTGTCTCTGTATCAAAATTATCACACTATTATTACCACCATTAGCACCACCACCCTTACCTGGTATACCTCCCTTTATCCTCTACACTTCCTCAATAATTCACAGATAAGTTTATATTTCGTTCCCAATTTCAACTTCCTGCCTGTATAGAAACAAATTTCTGGTTCAGCAGTTTCAATGAATCAATCAAATATTTGCACACCTGTTATGTGCAAAGTACTGACTCCGTTTATAATACTCAACTCACTTTTCAGCTGAGATTTTGAGTGCAGCTGCGTTCTGAAAAATTATTAGTTTATAAGAGTGTAAAAATATATGCATTTATAAAAATCTTGGGGGACCTTCTCTTTTGGCTTTAGAGCCCCCCTCCCTCTGTCTCTGTACAAGAGAGCTTCTTCCATCTTTTTCCTTCTTTCTTGTCTACTAAACTCTCCACTCCTTAAAACCACTCCACATGTGTCCATGTCACTTTATGTAAATTGGCATGAGGACCAAGAACCCTGGTGTTCCTCCACTCATCAGAGCCATATCATTTTGGTGCACGGGACGGGAAAGGAAATTCAATCATCAGACGGAAGCAGTCAAACTCCAAATGGTGCTGTAAACTGAACCACACATGGACATGCCATTCTTCTGAGGACCCTTAGATCGACCCCAGGAGGAGTCCTAGCTGCTCTTCCCCATTCAGTGCCCCTTTTCAGCAGGAAGTAGCCAGAAAGAGTTGTCGCCCCAAAACCCCCTAACAGCAGTTAGTGTGGCATCTCCACAGGGGAAAATGTTGTAGGAAAAGAGATCCATGGGAAGTTTTCATTTTTTAAAGCATCTCCAGAAAAGTTTCTTGTATTAAAGCCCTGGCTCTTAGAGCCAGGCCGGCAACCTTTGATATATAAATGTCAGCCATTAGAAACAGGGTCCACCCAAACATGGAGATTCCATGGCCTTCTTGCCCTTTCCCCACATGTTCCTGGCAACATGACTGCCCCCACATATCCCCATTGCATGTAGAACATCATGACTCCCTGCATTTGCATATTAAAAGGCTAGGTTGGGAGGGCCAGCTTTTTCATGGGCTACATGAATGACATGCCTAGTCAAACCAATCCCCTGAGCCCAATGCAAATAAATCACTGCCTCTTCCAACCTCTGCATGTATACCTGGGTAGTATCCTGGCAGGTGGGGACCTCCTCTTTTGGCTTTGGAGCCCCCTTCCCTCTGTCTTTGTACCAGGGAGCTTCTTCCTTCTGTCTTCTCCCTTTCTTCTTGTCTATTAAACTCTCCTTTCCTTAAAGCCATACAAAAAAAAAAAATAGTTAAATTGGGATGAAAAAAGCACTGTAAGCTGCTCTTGGAACAGGAGATCTGAAGCAAACAGGGAGGTAGATGGCAGTGTATTCCCAGCCTTGTTACCTAAGCAAGTGAGAGGGAAGCAGGTCTTCTATTCACGGTGATATCTTCTCACTCACTATGTGATGATTCAGTCATCTGGCACAATGTCCTCTAGTTAAATTAAAATATGTCTGAGTTTTTGGTCTAAATATAGTAATAGACACAAATATTAAAATCATGTTTCCTAAGCTTTTAAAAAATTATATATTCTCAGAACATGTTGGACAATCATTTGCCTCTGCAAATTTAAGGCACACGATTTAATTGTGTGTTCTCTGTTCTCATTGCAACATGCTTTAGAACTAAATATAAATAAGAAAAGGATTCAATATGCATAATATTAGTAAACCTTGCCCCTACTAAAATAATCATGGCTATAAAACTTTAAGGCTTATCACTTTCTTTCAAGGAAACAGTTGGGCATCTTTTAAACATGTCAACAACAAATAAAATTCTTTCATTTGTTCATTCTTTTCTCCCTTTCAGCATGTTAAGCACTGTATGAGCTGCTGAGATACAGAAATAAACAACAACACAGGTGTGTCCTTTGCTCAACCCCAGGCATAAATGAGCTTCCAAATGAACACAAACAAATCTGGAAGGCTTCTGAGGAAGAAGGACCATTAAAAAAAGGTAGAGAGAGAATATATTGAGATCATGTTTATTAATCACTGAAATAAAATATTCTCCAAAATTTCAGTGATTCCGCAGCCAATATATTATTACCCCTCCTTATTATGGGTTTACAGCCAAATTCTACCAGATGTACAAAGAGGAGCTGGTACCATTCCTTCTGAAACAATTCCAAACAATACAAAAAGAAGGAATCCTTCCTCACTCATTTTATGAGACTAACATCATCCTGATACCAAAACCTGGCAGAGAAACAACTAAAAAAGAAAACTTCAGGCCAATATCTATGATGAACATAGACGCAATAATCTTCAACAAAATACTGGCAAACTGAATGCAACAGCACATCAAAAAGCTTATCCATCACAATCAAGTAGACTTCATCCCAGGGATAAAAGCCTGATTCAACATACCCAAATCTGTAAACATAATCCATCCCATAAACAGAACCAAAGACAAAAACCACATGATCATCTCCATAGATGCAGAGAAGGCCTTCAACGAAATTGAACAGCCCTTTATGCTAAAAACTCTCAATAAACTAGGTATGGATGGAATGTATGTCAAAATAATAAAAGCTATTTACAACAAACTCACAGCCAATATCATACTGAACAGGCAAAAGCCAGAAGCATTCCCTTTGAAAACTGGCACTAGACAAGGATGCCCTTTCTCACCATTCCTATTCAATATAGTATTGGAATTTCTAGCCAGAGCAATCAGGCAAGAAAAAGAAATAAAGCGTATTCAATTAGGAAAAGAGGAAGTCAAATTGTCTCTATTTGCAGATGACATGATTTTATATTTAGAAGACCCAATCATCTCAGCCCAAAATCTCCTTAAGCTGATAAGCAACTTCAGCAAAGTCTCAGGATACAAAATCAATGTGCAGAAATCACAAGCATTCCTATACACCAATAACAGACAAATAGAGAGCCAATTGCTACAAAGAGAATAAAATACCTAGGAATACAATTAACAAATAATTTGAAGGATCTCTTCAAGGAGAACTATAAACAACTGCTCAAGGAAATAAGAGAGGACACAAACAGATGGAAAAACATTCCATGCTCCTGGTTAGGAAGAATAAATATCATGAAAATGGCCATACTGACCAAAGTAATTTGTAGATTCAATGTTATTCCCATCAAGCTACCGTATACCTTCTTCACAGAACTGGAAAAACCACCTTATACTTCATATGGAGCCAAAAGAGAGCCCACATAGCCAAGACAATCCTAAGCAAAAAGAACAAAGCTGGAGGCATCATGCTAGCTGACTTCAAACTATATTACAAGGCTACAGTAATCAAAACAGCATGGTACTGGTACCAAAACAGAGATAGAGACCAATGGAACAGAACAGAGGCCTTGGAAGTAATGCCGCACATCTACAACCATCTGATCATTGACAAAATTGACAAAAACAAGCAATGGGGAAAGGATTCCCTGTTTAATAAATGGTGTTGGGAGAACTGGCTAGCCATGTGCAGAAATAAACAACAGATACAGAAATAAAAAACAACAACAGAAAGCTGAAACTGGACCCCTTCCTTACACCTTACACTAACATTAACTCCGGGTGGATTAAATAGTTAAACATAAGACCTAACACCATAAAAAAACCTAGGCAATACCATTCAGGACATAGGCATAGGCAAGGACTTCATGACTAAAACGCCAAAAGCAATGGCAACAAAAGCCAAAATAGGCAAATGAGATCTAATTAAACTTAAGAGTTTCTGCACAGCAAAAGAAACAATCATCAGAGTGAATTGGCAACCAACAGAATGGGAAACAATTTTTGCAATCTACTCACCTGACAAAGAGCTAATATCCAGAATCTACAAAAAACTAAACCAAATTTACAGGAAAAACAAAACCCATTCAAAAGTGGGTGAAAGATATGAACAGACACTTTTCAAAAGAGGACATTTATGAGACCAAAGAACATATGAAAAATGCTCATCATCACTGGTCATTAGAGAAATGCAACTCAAAACCACATTGAGATACCATCTCATGCCAGTTAGAATGGTGATCATTAAAAAATCTGGAGACAACAGATGCTGTAGAGGATGTGGAAAAATAGGAACACTTCTACACTGTTGGTGGGAGTGTAAATTAGTTCAACTATTGTGGAAGATAGTATGGCGATTCCCCAAGGACCTAGAAATGGAAATTCCAGCAATCCCATTTGACCCAGCAATCTCATTACTGGGTATATACCCAAAGGATTATAAATCATTCTATTATAAAGACACACACACACACACGTATGTTCATTGCAGCACTGTTTACAATAGCAAAGACCTGAAACAAACCCAAATGCCCATCAATGGTAGACTGGACAAAGAAAATGTGGCACATATACACCACGGAATACTTTGCAGCCGTAAAAAGGATGAGTCCATATCCTTTGTAGGGACATGGATGAATCTGGAAACCATCATTCTCAGCCAACTGACACAAGAACAGAAAACCAAACACCAC